TAGACTAAACATTTCTGGGGTGGTGGTGGGTGACATTTAGAATATACTTTCATGGTACAAAACAGCATATTATACTGTATATCTTATATACACACACAACACACAGAGGGAATCTTTCATGCATGTAATACATCACTCTCTGTAGAAATATTTACATTCTGATAGCTTTTTGATCTGGAAATGGAGCTGCTTCATATTTATGACACTATTTACACAAAAGGTCGAGGTCGAATCTTTTGTAATATTCAAATGTGAAATTCATTCCATTTTAGGAAAAGACTGTTCCTGTTTGTTTTTCTGCCAGTCAGTTGTACCAGTAGCACAGACTGTGCTACAGAAATAAGATTATATATCTTACTCACTAATTACATTTTAAGAATGTATTACATTTTATTTAATTTTTTTAATTTTCCTCATGTGACATCAGTTTTATAGTCTTATATTAATTTTGTCATAGTTTCATGTCCCTTGTAATATATATTTAGCCCACAAAGTTAGGATTATATATTCTTTATTGTGTTAGCAAAGCATATACCAAAGTAAAACATTGGCACAATTTCGATCAAATAAGGCATCAGAGTTATCAGAACATATGAACTTAATATATCTACCACTTCATAGAGATTGAGATTGCATGATTCCAATCAATGTGCTTGTGATTTACCTCAGACACTTAGACCTATCTTATTAAGCGTATTCTTCTTCACACTAATTTGCAGCTGTTTTTCTATTAAATCTGTTATAGCAACTTATTAGAAACACGCATGAATAAATAACTAGAGTTATGATCCATCTTCTGTTCTTTCCAAGCATCTCCCAACAGCAGCTTCATTTTCCTTTCAGCACAAAAGTGTTTTATGTTATTGCATCTTATATCTTCTGTGTTTATTCTGTTACAGTTCTGCTCTGCAAGGCTCAATTATGTCTAATGGGTTGTTATTTATTAATGTAGACACAATCTGCAAATTCTGTGTTTACTTTGTCTGTTGGTAATGAATTATTTGTGTTATTTTACAGTTCTGCTGCACAATGCACTCCCTTTTGTTGGATTTGGATTCCTGGACAACTGCATCATGATTGTTGCTGTAAGTCTGTCTGCTTCATGCAGTGCTGAGCTCCCCTGTAGCTCAGTGTAGAGTTTGATTTATACAGGGGAAACCTGTGCATAAAGAATATGTTGTGTAATACTGTAGGAATCTTTAAATGGAACATGGAAGGAGCGAGACAAAGGTATAATTTTATTTGATGCTGCTGTATTTATCGCTCAGTATATTTCCTGTTTGCTCTCATTGTTCGGTAGACCTCTCTGTTTCTCCACTCTGTATTATGTCTTTGTGAAGTTGTTCAAATAATGAAATTCAAACCCAGTGGAACGGAATGAATTCATCGACTTAATTCATTTGGTTTTTAACACAGAGACGATGAATTCTTATAGGGGGGCCTCTACAATGAGGTGGGAAGACAAGTAGAAAGTGAGAATATATACTAGAGAAACAGAGAGATTAAACCTAAATAGAGCACAATGAAATGGCTTTGCCCAAAAACTAATATACTGTAACAAAAAGTAGAATGTGAAGATATTATAAAAAATATTTCAACCAGAATGGTGTTTTTGCTCCTTTACAAAGCAGACTGGAAAAGTTTGAAAAAAGAAATCAATAAGTAAAATTGTATTTTTTAAAGTTAATGTTACTGTCAAGGTCTGACTCAGTCCAGACAGTGAGAGAAACGAATGTACCCTGCCTGAAGATCTCAGGCTGCTCTCCATTTTGTATGGGATAAGAGGTCTGAACTAAAGCCAGGAAACCATAAACTGAAAGACTGAAAGCTTCTAGAAAACCATTAAAAAGTCTTTAATGATACAAGTAGACTTTGGTTAGAGGCTACTATTGCCCTTTGAGTTAAACCTTGTTTTAGCATTTTAAATTAGACCTTTAAGCTAAAAAGTAAATAGGAGAGAGACCTTTAGTTAATGTAAGGGAGACATTAAAACAGAGGAATTTATCATTGGTAGCGATTAAAAAAGGACCGTGGACCCTTATGGTGATGCACAGAAAATGCAATGATGCAATTTCTGGTTTGTATTATAGAACGACACACTGAGCTCTCTGGCCTTACACACTAACTTCTGTAATGTGTGTGTGTGTGTGTTTGCAGGGAACACAGATTGAGTTATCCATCGGCGTGATCCTCGGCATTTCAACTATGGCTGGTAAGAGAATCTCATAATTCTAATGTAACTTGATTTATAATAAGAAATATTGCATTTTTAATACAAATCAGTGAAGTCAGTAAGTTTATCAGACTGTCAAAGAGCATGTGTGTCTGAGGCAGAGAGATGAGGCAGTGTTTATTTTGTTTGCTGCCCTTTATAGTCATGAATGGTTTCATTATATAGAGTCTGTGTTGGTTTTTAAACACAGAAACATTTGATTGAGGATTGTTGCACGGTGATACCTGCACAAGAGAAACATTCATGTTGCTCACAGCAAAGTAAAATTCTCTGATCTCTCCAGGGTTTTTTTTTTTTTTTCAGTATATTTGCATACACATACGCAGTCAGATTCAATTTCTCATCTAATTGCTCAGGTTACAGCTATGCTTGGGAAAAAAATGTAAAGTTAAATTTGACGCAAATTACAACCTCACACTCTTGACCCCACAGCCTCCGAACTCTTTAAAAGAAAATAGAAGGAGGCATTTTCAATTTCATTGTAGACCGAATACAATGTCCCATAATGAAGCTCTAATGATGAACTTACACTCTGACCACTGCTGTGACACTAACCCAAAAAAAGAAAGAAAGTGACATTAGAGAAAGGAAAGGGAGAGGGAGAGAGAGGGAGAGAGAAAGACACTGGCTGGTTTAGATAATGATAGTTTCATAAATATGTTCATGGTGTTCAGAAGCACATTGTAATATCCACTTAGCTCAATGAGGCTCATTTGCATTTTAATGTTATCACTTGTTCCTAATGCGTATCTGCTAGAGACACTGAGGTTATTATGTTACATTACACTGAATGTGAGTTCTGAGAAGTGGTGGTGGTGACAGTCTCAGCTGTGGTGCAAGGTGAAGCATGACGACTATTTACTTCATTAATGATGGTCAACAGAACCATTATGAAAAGTTGAATAGTTGTGTCTTTTGGCAAATCACCACTTTTCTGTTCCATCTCAGTCCCTTTACTTTGATGTCAATGGTCTCCAAAACAAAAAAAGAGTTTAGGAACAACTGGCATTCCCACTTTTTCTCTGCCTTACTCTGCACGTCTTTCATTTCCTTCTTCAGATTATTTTGTTACTGCTGGTGATAGAAGTGTGCTTTGGTTGTTTTTTCTTTTCCAGATCAAACTGACTGGGTAAACCGATCTGTCTTGCGGAGAACTGCAGAGTTGTGGAAAACTTGTAGTGTAACTGTAGAGAGGAAAAACTGAAAACTTCACTTTGAGGTTCCAAAAGGGAAAATGAAAATTTGCTGATTTTTTAAAATTGTTTTACAATAAATATGTGATTGAGATTTTGATTAAGCCAAAGGGGCAATCTCAGGCCTGGTGGGATTTAAGGTTATCAGGTTGCAAACTAAGACAGGAAACCTAGAATTCATTTCCCTGATAGGCTGCTAGCAGTTTGACGGGCAGAGTCTGTTATCTCTATCTATTTTTCAATTCCGGTGTTCTAGCTGCAGAATTCCCCTGTTAATATAAAACAACCAAAAATCCAATGGTAGACAAAAAACTAAAAGGCGCTTCTGTCCTTTTCCTAGAGCACAGCCTCAACACAGCTTCTTCAGACACTGTCATTCCTGCTACATTGGGGACATTTTGGGGGTCTGCAAATCAAGAGGCTGCAGTTATCTAACACAGTCCAAAGTGATTTAGCACCAGTGTCAAGTCTGTAGTCAAATCCACCAATCACACATTTTCAAGGAGGAAACTGTGGCTCAGCTGGCTCGATGAAGATGGAGGCTGTACCGTTAGAAAATGGCTCGACTTCTGAGTTGGGCAAATTACATAATTTAAACAGAGTTAATGATGTGGAAAAACTCCAAATAGGATTAATGCCATTAAAAATTACAACTAAGGTGATTAACTCACAAAATCACCGTGCTTTGTCGAGATTTGCCTTCAAAGACCCATGCCCTCTCCGGCTTCCCACAACTTGGAACATTTTTATTAGATTCTCATAATTATATTGCATTAATATGTTTATATTACAGCTTATCTAACTTTTAAGAGCTTCCTGTATGAACACATCAGACTGAATAAATGCTGACTGGTTTTATCTTTCCCTCTAATCTCTGGTTTACAGATTTGATCTAAGACCAGTTACCAAACTGTGATACCACCTATGTACAGTTATGTATGTACTTGTGTGTCAGTTATTGTTGCTGTAGAGCGCTTCGAGGTATAGATAGGTGTTTCTCATACACAGCGTTACATTTTTCAGTCTGCGAACATAATGACCTACAGCTGGTAAGTGAGCCTTGCAAACAAAAGCAAGAGACAAATAAAATGTCCCCCCTGCCATTTTGTTATTTCACATTGTTTCACAGCCCATTTATCCACCGATAGACGTTGGTTGATAATACACGTGCAGACATCATCTCTGATCTTGCCACAGGTCTAGAAAGTTTGAGAACATTCTGGTAAAAGATGGAGATATCCATCATAAAGTAAGAATGTGAGAAAAGGAACAGAAGTACTTCCACTGTTGCCCAAACCCACCTTTCTCTGAGTCCTTCTTTCTTTTACTACTCAATAAACGCTTCAGAAGCACTTGTCTTGTATGAGAGTGTGATTGAACCTCTCACCAACCTGTTGAGGTGGATTAAATCAGATGCAGAGCGCAGCAAGAAGCAGAGAGAGCAGTGAGTTAAAGGCAGACAGCCGACATTGTCTTATAATTACATTTGAGTAGCTTGACCGCATAATCAAGCCTGAAGGGCTCTTCATTACATCTGCCTCCTCAGGGGCTTGTACAGAGGTACACTATATAACGACAGCACACTATTTGATTACTACATATAATCTACTGTATAACTTTCTCTTTATTTCACACAACCTTCCTTCAGGAGACTCTGACCTAGAAGAAATTGTCAAGCAACAACTAATGTAACCACAAAGAAAGAAAAAGTTTCATTTAAGTACATTTCAAGTGTGTGTGTGTCAAATTGAGGATATAAGGTACCTCTATATAAGAGGCAACTAACTATAAAGATTTATACATTTATATGTATTTTATTGTGTGCTGCAGCCAGACAGTTATATAGTTCAACAAATGTTGCACCACTTTAACAATACGTTTTGCCTCACATGAACTTCTTTCAAATAAAATTAGATTGCAAAAATTGAACTTTTGTCTTCTGTCCCAAACTTTACAAATAAAATCTGCCACAAAAAATGACCTTCCTAAAACCCAGCTCAGGGTTCATCCATCAGAAGTAGTCAAAATGAAGGACATTTTACAAAACTATGTAGTCCTTAAATCATCATGTAATGAACAAGCTTATTTGCTGCAGTGAGTTACAGTTGGACTTGGATCCTGCCCAGTGCAAACAATATTTTCTGTTCAAAATACTAAAACAATCTCCTCATTTAGCCCAAATCTACTTTGTGTGTGTTG